GGCACACATGATAGCAGGCGGCTCGAAGAATAGCAACAACAAGTGCTATAAATACCATTTCCACAGCGAAGGTTGCCCAACGAGTTGAAAGAAAAATATTAAGAATATTTTAAGTTGAAGTTATATATGAGTAAAAGAAAGAGAGAGGGAGAAAAAATAAGAGAGAGAGATAGATATACAGATATATATATGTGTATATATATATATAAATAGAGAGAGAGAGCAGGGGGAGAAAAATGGGGAGAGAGACAGAGTGGGAGAGAGGATGAGGGTGAGTGTGAAAGAAAGAGAGACCGAGAGAAAGAAGCAAATGTTGTTACAGCGACAGACTGAGAGAGAGTGAGAGAGATTGAAAGAGAATTCCTTTATATATTTTACTACGGATCCCAATAAGTCAAAGCAATCTTAAGATACATTACATTATATAAATGTTGTTATATAATTAGTTTTAATATTTATTAATTCCAACTCAGCTTTGTTGTTAGCTGAAATTGTGATTACGCTTAAGTTCAGTTCATCTTCATCGAATTCGTGAACTTGTGTGGCAGCCCACGCTGGGGCCAATCGCATAAGAGGCCATTGGATAATATCATATACTAAACATTTGATGATAGCTCTGGCTCTGGCTCTGGCTTTGGCTCTGCCTTGTGGCCAAGAAAACGCTTGTGGCAGAGCGGGTTTCTAAGCTTCTTGGCGGCCGTTGCCGTTGTGTGTTGCTGCTTCGTCTGCTGCTGCTGCTGCTGCTTTTGCTGTCGTCGCTAACTGCTGCTGGTTGCTGGCCACTGGTCGCGGTGTCTTCTATTCGCGTTTGGTTACTCGAAGCGAACGGTGCTTTCGTCTGGCATCAGCTGCAACTGTCCGTGGTCTACCGTGGCCGTCTGTGCTTTCCACTAGCAACGCTGTTACCGTTTGCCAAGCGCTGACCGATCGCACAACCGTTAGCAGCAACCGCAGCAACAACAGCCACAACATGCGACGCACAGACGAATTTGAATTTTGATTTTTTTTGTTTGTTTTGCTGTTGTTGTTTTTCGGCTTTAGTTAAGTGGTGTTGCAGCTTAATGCTCAATGCAGTGTTTGTAGCGTTGCCGTGCGGCCACGCCCCTCATGCCATCCGCCCACTCGATGCCGTTGAAAGTACGCGCCGCGCCGCGTTGGTCAGCAAGCAGCAGCAACAGCAACAGCCACAAAAACAACAACAACAACAACAGCAACAGCAGCAAACAAAATTTCGCGCTTCAAAGTGTTTCGAATGCAGTTAACGAATCGGAACGCGAATTAATTAACAGTTTCAGTGTACCAAAGAACTGCAAGCCACAACAACATCAACATCAGCAACGTACAAGAAGAAACAGTAGCAACAACCTGTGTGCCACAAGCCGCAACCATGAAAAGGTAGCTCGGCCGTCAGTTACAATAATCAATTGGCCAAGCGCTGAGCTGCCCCCCAAATAGCCAAAAACCGGAGCATCAATCGGATCCGCCTAGCAATTGTTGCTTTGTTTTTCCTTTACATTTATCTATCCCTTCTTCAATTGTTCTTTTTTTTAACGTGATTCAAAACAATAAGTGTGTGTGTGTGTGTGCGGTAAATGGAGGCCAACACCCACAAGAAGCGACAACAATGAAAAATTTATAATGCTCGAATTCCAGTGGCAAAAATTGTGCATGGATCAAATGAAGCGAACGCGCGATAAATTTCAAACAATAAAATATAATAAAAATACCGCGCAACAGAAGTGGACATGAGGCAAAATAACGGAATTTATATAAGAGATATATGAGCACATGTAAATAGAGGACTATCGTATCAAAGGGGAAGGGGAAGCGGAGATATATGTTTATGAGTTCGACTTCAGATAAACTCAGAAGAACTAGAAAATTTCTGTATCGAAGTTCAGTTAATTTTTAAATAGTTTAATATGAGATTTAATCAAAACGAAGAAAACTCTAATGAAATAAATTTGTGTATGATTTATAGATTGAATAGATTGTTGCTGGAATAGAAATAGGAATGGATGAGTTGCATGAAAAGTGACCAAGTAGAAAGGAAATATGTATATGGCCAGATTGATTCTATACTCGTATTTAATAGGCACTGATGAAATGGATAAATTAGTAAACAATATATTAATAAAAATCAATTTTAAGAAAGGAAATATATATATGATAGAGAAAATGAATAGAAAAGAATAAATCGAACGAACAAAAAAAAAAAAAAAAAAAAAATCAAAATAAATATATATATAAATGGAAAGAAATATATATAATTATATACACGATTCATGAATTCGGAAAGAGAAAAGAATGAATCTAATAAAGAGTATATAAAATATAAATTAAATACATTTTTAAGATGGGCCGCCTAAAGCAAGCATTGCATAAATATATAATTAAACAAGAAAGCAAACTTTAGATAAGCAAAAAACAATTAAATTGAAAAAAATTATGTAGATAGTTGAGAATAGACGTCAAACTTAATCATTTGATATTTGCAAAGATGATGTGAGAATAGAAAGTTGGTCAAATTAAAAAATTGTCAGACAGACGAACAGTCAAAGAGCCAGTTGCCAGATGCCAGTTGCTCATCTGTGGCTAGAATCGACTAATCGATTTGAGAAATGTTTTCTTCAGTTCAGTTCTTCAGTTATCTTTGCGTATTTGTGTCGAGTGTTGTTTTCGTTCGGCACGCAAATGTTCAATTAAATGGGCTCGAGATCTGTTGGGGTCTATGGCATTCTGGCCTAACTGTCAACCGAGCTGGCAACTCCATAATTATCGGCCTTTCGAGACTTGCGTTTCAATGTGGGAGTTGCGATTAAAAATATTAAACACAAAAGAAATTGCAAACAAATAATATTTAAGAAAAGCGCAAAAAAATATGGTATAATTATTAAATTGCAATTACAAAATGAGCACTCTAGATGTGCTCGTTGTTTACTGTATTTTCACCTACAAAGCCAGCAAGAAGCTGTCGAGGCGCATGAAAAACACGCGACTGCCAAATGGACAGTCGAGCAGCAAGTCGAGGCGGGTGGGGGTAGGATAAGGCAGGAGTAGTAGGCAGGGGAGGGGGCCCAGTTGAGCTGAATCTGATGTCTGCGACTATAAAATCTATATATATATATATATATATATATATACACGAGAGCAGCGAGAAATGAGTAGAGAAAAAAGCACAACATGAAGATGAAAAATCAACTTTAATTGGTTTACAATTCATTTCTGTAGCGAAAAGCTGGAAAATGTAACAAGTCGCCAAGTCGCTTGAGAAGAAAGCAGCAGCAGCAGCAGTAGTCTCGAGACTCGAGCTGAAGTTGAAGTGTCTGCTGTGCAATATCCATGAAGCGGCGGCCGCCACAGAGCCAAGCTGAACTCAGTCGATTGCCTAAGGCAGCGCTGCCAACATGACTTAGGGAAAGCACAGTGGGACGCGCTTGACAGAAGTTACTTAAATTTAGCTGACTATGAATCAATGGAAAACTTGTGAAATGCGCTAAAGATTTAGAACAATCAAATTGGCAAGCCAAACAAAATATATATAAATAGAGTTATATCAATATATATATATATATATATATATATATATATATCTATATATATGTATATATATATAGTATTCATAATGGTTCAGTGCTTAGTCTCGACAGCTTAAATCAAGTCTATTCTTTTTAATAGGATTTCAACAGATCTAAACAGAATTTAAATTTGCTAATGTTTTCATATTTATATTATTCAAATCAATTTTTGTTATAAATAACAAAAGTCTGTAAAGTCACAAAAGTTTTAAAGTTCTTAGTCAAACTTTTTCGCATTATAATTATGTACAAGACATTTCAATATGGAGTCTAAGAAGCTTTTTGCTAAAGTTGACTTAAGACAACATTTTAGGCATTAGTCAGCGCAAGTTTGGCCCACTGTGCTCTGGCTAATATCGCAGACAAATGGTAGCAATTGCGCATCATAGCCAGCGGCTGCTCCGCTGCGCCCGGGCGTAACACAGAGAGAAAAGTCTGCGGCTGCGTCTGCGGAGCATGATTTGCTCTGCATTGCTATTTTTTTTTATTTTGTTTTGTAAAATGTTTTTGTTGTTGTTGTGTATTTGGCGCATTTAAGCGTTAATTTCACACCGAAAAAAAGAGTGCAGAAGATGCAGCAGCTGAAACAGGGGCAAAAGCGAAACAAAATGCGCTAGAAGTTTGCTGGGGCAGGCAGTCGGCCAGACGTTCATTGAGAGTCAGTTGCAGCAGATGCAGATGCAGATGCAGATGCAGTTGCAGATTGATGCGCCCAGCAACGGCTCTGCGGCGACTCAGCGACTCGGCGACATTCCGACTTTTCAACGGCGCTGACTTTCGGTTTCGGCCAAGATTGATGAGGCGCGGGCCTCAAACTCGAAATGCAAATAAACGGAAGCCGAAAACAGTTAAGAGTCAAAACTCGAAAAAACGCAACGAAAAACAATCGAAACGAATTGTGTTGAACGTTCAAAATCAAAGTGATTTTTCTTTTAACCGTTTCTGCATTTTATCTATATTTTTTCTGTGCATGTGCGCGCGTGTAACGGTATTGGGGAAAACTCAATCGAAAACCAGTTGATTCTGGTGTTGTGATATGAACTATATTATCGCATAGGCGACACGAAAGCGAAAGTCGCATAGGTAACAATAGCTGCGCGTAGGTAAGCAAAGGCATTCAACAGTTAATTCTCAATACAGCACAACTGCACCGCAACCACGCCCCCTCCCGCCCAAGCACCGCCCTCTGGTAGTGTACTTCAGCACACTCGCAATGTATTTTTCTCGCGTCGTGTCGTGACGTCTACTCCATGCACAATGAAAAACTTGAACCACGCTCGCGCCACACATCCTTGAGCAAGCAACCAGCCCACATGTCCTCCCCCTGCCCACACACACACACACTTGGCACATCCTGCTGCAATCCAACAAAAACATCAACTCCCACTCTGTAGCTACTTTTCGACCATCAACGTTAAGAAGGGCCTGCTGGGCCGTATGACCACAAGTCTGACCTCGTACCGCCGCAGCAAGCAGAAGAGCAAGTCCAACAATGACATACACACCATCATCTCCACGGAAGTGAACTGCGTGACCACTGCCATATTGAGCAGCAACAGCAGCAGTAGCAGCAGCAGCAGCCACATCAACTGCCACGATTCTGATGCCGAGCCGGGGCCCGACACAGCGAACGCACACAGCTCCAACCAAAATCCGGGCCAGAAGCACAGCGGCCAACAGGAGGACAGCAATCTCGGCGAGAATCTGAGCAGTCTAAGCGAACGCATGATGGAGGCGCATCAGCGCAAGGTCTCCGTTGCAGCGGCAGCTGCTGCCGCCAACGGCGACTCCAACGATGACGAAGCCACGCCCATGCTAGTGGCAGGCGCTGGCCAGGGTCGCAAGGAGCAAAACAATCGACGCAGCGTCGTGAGGTGAGGCAACAGCAGCAGCTGCGCCCAATCAACTTGACTTTACAATCGGGAACAAGTAGCATATGGGAAAAAAATATATATATAAATATATATATATATGTATCTATAAAGAGAAGGTCGACAGTTCGAGAAGCTGTAGCTTGTGAAGATGGAACATGTTTTGCCTGAGCTGCAGCCATATCAAGCTCCAAGCACTTGCTATGGAGTTGAGCTAAATATCTATCATACTGTGATTGTTCAAATCTTCTTGGCAATTTATGTTAAGTGTTTCTAGGCCTTAATTTCAAAGATCGAATATCATTTGAGCAAGTTGAAATCGATCAAAACCTCGGCATATTATCTTTTATATGTAATATTGAATATTAAATATATGTTATTTTAAACATCACATGTGATCGGTTGATCGAGCTACAAGCAGTGCTAACTTAACTTGATTACCTGTGACTCTGTGTCTGCCTAGACCCATACTTAACTCTGCTACATTCTATAGTCCCCAGTCATGGAAATGAGTAATGTGAAATATGATGTAGCAAATGAGACATGCATATGCATGTTGTATGTGAAGCCAGACTTGCAACAAATGTCTATCATCTACTTTCGTGCATCGATCATAAGCCACAAAAAGTGCTGTCAACGTGTTGGCTGTTTGCTCTTTGCCGTTTGCCTTTTCCTTTTTTTATTTTTATTTTTATTTTATTTTTATATATTTTTTGTGTGTTGTCATTGATGATACTTTAATTTGTATCTATACCTATGTATAGCAGTCACTCTATATGGCGGCCATTAGCCGTTGCTTGTCTGCAAGTGAATGCCAGTGGCGCAGGGGGCGCCACACGGGGCATGCCGCTGGCTGTGTTGACTTTTTGCTCATTAGCCAACTGCAAACGAATTTGGCCTTAGCTAATTGAAACGTTGAAGCGATTCCTTTCATTTATCTATTTGACTTTATATTTAACCATGTCGCATGCATTTGCTTTGCAGCGCCAATACGCAAATGGACAATGATGTCACGCCCGTTTACCTGGCCGCCCAGGAGGGGCACTTGGAGGTGCTCAAGTTTCTGGTGCTTGAAGCTGGCGGCTCGCTCTATGTGCGCGCACGCGACGGCATGGCACCGATTCATGCCGCTTCACAAATGGGCTGCTTGGATTGCCTCAAATGGATGGTGAGTATGCCAAACTGGCCAAACTGTAGCAAAGATTTGCAATTGCCAAATATGCCAAAAATGGGGCCAACAACAAGCAAAGCTGAACTCGTTTGCTGCGCACAAAGCGCATGGCCTTCAGCTTGCTGGCTGGCTGGTTCTTGTCCTGGTTACGGATCGCACAACTAACGGTTCCCGTTCCCTGGCTCGTTTGTCGCCTGGCCTCTGCAATTTATCAAGCAGTTTAGCATTTGCCGCTAACCAGATTCCCACACCGGACTAACAACAGTCAAAGTCAAAGTCAGAGTCAAAGTCGAAGTCGTAGTCGAAGTCTTACAGCTTTGTTCTCTGTTTTTCCTTATATCCGCTGGGAATCCGAATCGATTCATTGCAGCTCTTCACTCTGCGGGCGTGGGCTGTCTCTTTCTGTCTTTTTAAAGATCTAACGACATAAACTGGACATCTCGGCAGGCCGACTTTGGGTGCCAGTTGAAAATCACCTTTCTAAATTGAGCTAAATAGTTTTGCATTGCCAATGCAGCAACACACACACACACACACACACACACACATACACATACACATACAAGTCGACCACTTTCCACATTTTGTGCAGTTTTGCCTGAGAGGTGTCCAGAGAGCGAGTCATGCGAGTCCAGTCCAGTCAAGCCACACGACAACACGTCGCAACATTGACAGTTCACAATAGATCCTTGTAGAGCAGGTGACAATCCATTAAAAAGCTAAGAGAAAAACCAACTTTGACAATTTTCAAGCTCAGTTTGCAGCAGTTTTAAAGAGCCTATTGTTGTGCGCAAGCTCTCTCCTTGACAATCTGTCAATCTACCCTCGTGCCACTATATTTCCGCTCATTGACTTATGGCATTTGCTTGCTTGGCTCCACAGGTGCAGGATCAGGGCGTGGATCCGAATTTGCGGGACGGCGACGGTGCCACGCCACTGCATTTTGCCGCCTCGCGTGGCCATCTGTCGGTGGTGCGGTGGCTGCTCAACCACGGCGCCAAATTGTCACTGGACAAATATGGCAAGTCGCCGATCAACGACGCGGCCGAGAATCAGCAGGTGGAGGTGAGTAACGAGGCGAAGCTGCTAATGGCTAAACAACTCTCCTAATCAATGCCTGCCTTTTGGTCACAGTGTCTCAACGTGCTGGTGCAGCACGGCACCACCGTCGACTACAACAACAAGAACAATACACAGCGACACAAGTCGCAGCACCAACACCAGCAACAGCAGCAGCAACAGCTGCAGCATATGAGCAGCAGCTGCAATTCGAACACAAATTCGAGTAAGCAGACGAGCCGCAGCAACACCATCAAGTCGAAGTCCTCATCCACGCTCAGCTCTGATGTGGAGCCCTTCTACTTGCATCCACCAGCCGTGACGGCAGCAGCTGCCGCGGCGGGCGTCGGCTTGGGCGTTGGCATTGCACGCAAGAATAGCGACGCCCTGTATTCGCAGCAGTCGCGCAGCTCCTCGGAGAAGCTCTACGGCTGCAATGGGGCCTCGGGTGGGGGCGGTGCGGGTGGCAGCTCGAACGCCGGCGGCGCACTGCTGCCCAACGATGGGCTCTATGTGAACCCGATGCGCAATGGGGGCATGTATGCCACGCCCTCGCCGAATGGCAGCATATCGGGCGAGTCGTTCTTTCTGCACGATCCGCAAGAGATCATCTACAATCGGGTGCGCGACCTGTTCGTCGACTCGGACTGCAGCAGCGTGAAGCAGCATCAGATGCCGCATCCATTGCACTCGCTGCAGTCGAAGGCCGGCAATGCGATCATGACCATTCAGGCCGATGTCCATTCCAGCTCGAGTGGCGCCGGCAGCGGCTCAGATGAGTCCGTCTCCATCTCGTCCAGCTTCAACTCGCCAAAGAGCAGCAGTCATCATCACAGCAACAATCACAGTCACAATCATCACCAGCATCAGCATCAGCATCCGCATCAGTTGCGCAGTCAGAGCTTCAATAGGCACGGCAGCAGCGGCAACATCAGCAATAGTAGCAATCTTAAGAAGAACAACAACAGCAGCAGCAACAACAACAACAACAGCAGCAGCAGCGGCATCAACAACAGCAACTACAAGCAGCATAAGAACAGCAGCAGCAACATCAGCAGCAACGGCAATCAGAATGGCGATCATGACTACGAGGATATATATTTGGTGCGCGAGGAGTCACGCAAGCAACATCAGCACCAACATCAGCTGCAACAGCAGCAGCAGCAGCAGCAACAACAGCAGCAGCAGCAACAGCAGCAGCAACATCAGCAGCAACAGCAGCAACAACAGCAGCAGCAACAGTTGCAGCACAAATACAGCGTGGGCAGATCGCGTTCCCGCGACAGCGGCTCCCACTCGCGTTCAGCCAGCGCCAGCTCCACGCGCAGCACTGATGTTGTGCTGCAGTACAGCAATCATGTGAGTAGCAGCTAACAGGGTGACTCGTGTCATGTGTTTTATCTTACTCCCCCTCTCTCTCTGCCTCTGCCTCTCTCTACAGCACTTGAACAACAAGCGCAGCAATTATAACAACAGCAACAACAACGGCAACAACAATGGCAGCAATAACAACAATAACAACAACAACAACAACAACGTGAGCCTGCTGAATCGCAATAAGTCGCATTCAATGATTGGCCTGCACAGCAGCAAATACGATTCGAGTCTTAAGGATAGCTGCAGCGCAAAGAACGTGAATCTGAATCTGAAGAATCAGCTGCTCAATGGCGGCATTAAGAGCGACACCTACGAGAGCGTCTGCCCGCCCGAGGATGTGGCCGAGCGCACCAAGCAGACCCACAAGAACTCGATGATACGCAACAATTTGGCAGATGCCGGTCTGTTAAGCAGCAATCCGAATATATCGCTGCACAACAACAACAGCGGCAGCAGCAATAGCAACATCAACATGAACAGCAACAGCAACAGCGACAGCAGCAACAGCATCAATCAAAATGGCGCCAACAGCAGCAGCAACAACAGCAACAACATGAACAGAAATTTGAAACGTGTCTCCTCGGCGCCGCCCATGCAGAATCTGGCCGTGGGTGAGTCAACTGTGATTTTAAGTAATATTTATTACACTTGATTGCGCTACAACGATGCATTCCTGTTACAAAAAAAAATACAAAACTTAATCTCTATACGAAATGGTATTGAGGTCAGGAGGTGGCCGTTCGCAGCTTGTTCCTGCTCTGCCGAGGAACGTCTCTCGCCTTCCGTCGAGAACAATTCCTTCTTTAGTGAGCAGTAGAGTCGCCAACTGATCTCTCATAGCTCTATTAGCATACACTATTCTTGCTATTATTTCACCCACTCACTCCCGCTCTCTCTCTATATATATCCTCATAGTTAATGGACCACCGCCGCCGCCGCTGCCGCCTCCATTGCGTGCGCCTGTGCAGCGCAACAACTTGAATGCGGAGCAAGCTAGCAACAACAACAGCTCAAGCAACAGCTCAAACAACAGCAACAACAGCAGCATCTATAAGAAGAATCACTTTGGCATCGCACCTACAACGGCTGCGGCAACAACAGCAACAAGTGCCGCATCAACTGGCGCACACGAGGCCGTGGACTCGGACTCGGGCCTGGAGGTGGTGGAGGAGCCCAGTCTGCGTCCTTCGGAGCTGGTCCGTGGCAATCACAATCGCACCATGTCCACCATATCTGGTAAGCGTTTAGTGTGCGTGGGGGGAAAGGGGGGAAAGTGAAAATCGAAATTTGTCATCTCGTTAAGCTGGCATTTGGTTTCATGCCAATTGGGGCATTTTGAACCAATCAGTTTCGGCCAGACAACACAATTTTAGGAAACCAAATTAAAAACATCAAAAATCACGAAATTCGACATTATCAAAAACTGAACACAAACACAAAAACTAGCAGAATCAGAATCAGTTAGCGGCGGCTGTTGTGAGCCATGAGCACGGATGGTTCGAGTCTGGGTTGGTCGGATCTGCTCGAGAGCAGGCCGCTGAGCAGTAGCTCCGATGAAACGACGACCGTAAATATGTCGCCGCAGCAAACGCAGGCGATGATAGCACAGTTGGCCGAGCAGATGAAGGTGCCCAGTCTGGACGATCTGTCCGACAACCTGTCGGAGAATCTGAACCTTAAGGACACCTACGTCATTTATAGCGTCGGCAATTCAACGCTGTTCCTGAGCTCACTGGACACCCAGTATGCCACAGAGCATGAGCTGCAGCTGCTCGATCGTCATCTACTGGATGTCAAGATCGCCGAGCCAGACGAACCGCTATGGCCCAGTCCCGACGTCTTGACCATGGGCATGCGCAATGTGCTCGATGGAGATGTGCCCTGTACCAGTTCAGCGGCAGCATCCGCATCGACCACAAGTCGCAGATGCCACTCCAAGATAAAGTGCGCCAAGCAGCTGGGCAAGAAGAGGCGTACCAAGCTGCACTATAAATAACATAGCTCAAACTCAGTCGCATCCAATGATCATACACGAAAGAATTCTCTATACCGCCAATTTGCGTCTGTTCTGCAGTTTGATTTTGCTTTGCCGTTGCCGTTGCCATTTCCCTATTGCTCGCATGCATCATCGTCAGCAGCAGCAGCAGCAGCTCATCCTGCAGCCGACTCGCTGTTGACTGACGGGGTCTTTGACATCTAGCAACGGGGCGGGGCGAGGAATATTGATTGATCAATTAGCGGCACAAACATGCCTCAAAACTGGAATTGCCCAACAACCAGACTCGGCAAACTGTGCAGCTCTGGTCAACTTTTTGTTTGCCATTTGCCATTTGCCAAATTGCCAAATTGGCTGAGCGGCAGCAACAGCGACTGGCAAACATGCAATCGCCATAGCCATACCAATTGCAATTAAACGCAGATCAATATTTTGACTCACAAGTGGTTGTCAGCGGAAATCAGTAAAGATCTTGAGTAATGTTTGCACTGGCAATATCAGGTTTATGTAGAAGTGGAAGTCAAACTTCATGTTTACATGGATATATAGATATAGACAGCAATGACAATATAGACACTTGTCTATACAGTCATCTCTAGGGATTCAAGTGTGGCTGCGTGAGCTGATATTCAGTCTGAAGGAAGTAGCTTAGGACATACTGTAACTATCTGACTAAGAAGACAAGGGGCATAAGAAAAGCTAACAGACTTAATAGGGAAACAGCTTAGGTAGCAGAATAAACTTCGGGCTGTGGGCAGCCGGAGGAGCAGGTGAAGTAGGCTCTGACCATGCCGCTGCATCCCGACGTGGCATGGCCGTGGAAGCTGCCGAGCTCGATATAGTTTTTGGTGAGCTGGCATTAGTTATACAAAGCAATGGCCTCTTAGTGCCTGATTGACACACGGAAGATTAGTTACAAGAGTTTAACATTTCGCTTAGACTTACTGCCGCATGCCAGGCAAACGTCAAATGGGGCTGTTTAAACATCAGTGGCTGAGCTGGCGAGTTTGTTAACCCGGCCAAGACAATGAATGCCAGATATTTGACATGCATTGACTCGCAATATGCATTCGTAAATGGCTAATGCAGTCGCATTATGTGTGCTTGGCGAGAGAACTAGTTGTACAAATTAAATAGACAGGCGAACAAAACTCAGGCAAAGGTTCACACGTTGCCAGCGAGCAAAAAGCGCAGCAGCAGGAAAAACGAAAACGAAAAGCGAAAAACGGAAAAACGGAAAATGAGTTTTGCAAAACAAAGAAGTGGAAGTTGTTAACAATCGAAAACAGAAAAAACTAAAACAAACTTTGGGAAAATATTAGTAGCAGGGGCAGAGCAATAGACTCGGCTGTAAGTGCATCAGATTGGGCGAAGCCCAAAACAGTAGTCACCACGTGCCATTGGCCACTTGACGCTTGCCACTTGCTACTTGTGGTATGTCCACGCTGACCGATCATCAGAAGCTGCGAATCCTTAGACGCTGTCAAGCACCAAGGCGGAAGTACATATGTTCAGCTATTTGACGGCGACTGGCCCCTTGAGCATGCAGCACAATGCCATAACAATTATGGCCTCTGCTGCATGTGGTTGGTGGTTGTGGGTTGTGGGTTGTGGGCTGTGGCAGTCGAGCCACCCACCCGCGCTGTCCGCGCTGCAAAACTTTTACCCAATGAAAGTGAACGTGTTTTTTCGCACAGCCATTGACAAGACTTCGCGCTGTGCCACAAGACTCGGAGTGCACACGACTCAAGCGACTCGTTGCTGTTGTTGTTGTTGCTGCCGCTGCTTGTGGCGCTTTGGGTGAATAACTTTGGCAATAGCTTGAACTCGCATCAGGCTGCCAGCAACGCTCGCCCAGTCAACATCGTCAACTTCCACAGCTCAGCTCAGCTCAGCTCAGCTCTCAGTTCGCACTAATCCCGACGTGAACGTATCCAAAATCTATTTGAATCTTTTCTTTCCTTTTTTTTTTATTTGTTCGTGCTTCGTTTAATCTTGTTAATGTGAATTTGTGAATCATCGAACATGTGATTTGTTATCGGACTGCTTTGTGTGTTATCAGGACGGTTCCAAGTTCAAGTTTAGACGGTATGAACATGGCAGGCTCGATGAAAATCCACAAGAATACGCGACGCAATTATTTTACGCTGAGCTTTCAGCGCTTCGATATATTTCGTTGTAAGTACGATCAAAGGACGTTTGAACAGCAAACAGTAAATAATATAATAATAATATTTGTGAAGTGCTTGTACAGTTGATTGAGCTGCGTCTCTGAATAGCTTAAGCATTTGAAAATTGTTTTAAAATTATTATAGCAATGACTAAATTTTGGTATTTTCGCATTGCAGTCGATTGGTTCATGATTTGAAGCTGCTTTCCCTGTTATACATTTACCCTTTCTTATGCTCTTGCCATGGCCAGTTTATCAGCTTAGCAATCTTTGTTGACAATTTCACCATGAAATTGAAACCAGTTGCTGGCCTAGGCTCAAACTGGACCCAGCCAAATTATTCCATTTCCAAATGCAGACCGTCTCCAGCTTCCAGTTGGACTGCTCTCAAAAATTGATCAAATGTTGCAAAAGAGTCGGCAATAGCTGGAATCGTTTGTTAGTCGTGTTCGTTTTTTATTTGGCCATCAAATCTATGAGCCAAACAGGCCAGACCCGATTCCAGTTCCGATTGCGATCCCGCTGCACTCGCAATTGCTGCGGCCATATACAATATCACGATGTGGCCGTTGCGACGCGAGCAGCTCTGCCCCCAAGTCGATGAAACGGGTTGCTGAGCCGTGAAAGTTGCATTGCCGAGGACTCATGACAAACGCACAGTGGAGGCCAAGCGGTGCGCGGCGATGGCCAATTAACTGACAACATGTGCACCACTTCGCTTCGATGACCACTAATCATGCGAGCTGTCATCTGTGTGGATTTTCCTTCTCTGTGCTTAGAAATTTACTGTTTTCATTCATAATTATAATGCATTTCGCTGTTGACCTCTTCGCGCTGAGGCCCCCCTCGACTACTCCCAGTGTCTGCCATCTCTGGCTGTCAATTTGGATATGGAATATGAGTTTCATTCGTCTGTTGAATGCTTCTATTTGACATTAATCAGGCACTAATTAAATATTAATCTGGCAACTATTCGAGTATTTGCAGTTGCCTAGGAGCTACCTATTTAACAAGAGCTTTAACTTGCTGTCAACTAGTGTGAACTTAATTTCATTTTGCACGCAGCTGCCTTTCATGATCCTTGATTAATTGGCTGCCGCCCGCGCTACGCTTCTGGTTTCTGTTTTGCTTCAATTACTGCAATTGCATTTTGGTGCTCTTCATTTGATTAGGACGCAGCCGAAATCCATTAGCGCCATTCTGCAGCTTGGTGAAAGGCGTCGACACACGCTGCATACGCAATGAGTTGTGTCTTGGAGGAGAGTCTAATGTGTGTGTGTGCGTGTGTTGTTGTTATTGTTATTGTTGTTAATGTAGCTCAAGCTAGCGTGACCAAAGAGCTGGGATAACTGCTAACCCACAATAAGTAGTTAACGCAGACAAGACTTAAATCTCATAAATAAATTTGTTCAATTTCAGCGAACAAGAAAGCCAAGCTCCTCAGTGGCAATGGCAACGGCAACGGCAACGGCAACAGCAACATCAACGGCAACGGCAATAACAACGGTAACATTGGCGCCTCGAGTGGCGCAGCAGCTGCCGCCGCCGCCGCTGCCGCTGGCAATGGCAGTGGCGAGTCGCACTACCAGCATGCCAATGGCAGCATCTACGGCTATGCGGAGGGCCCTGGCGGCAAGCAGCGCAGCGGCGCCAGCAGCAGCAGCAGCTACCAGCCCTCGCACTATCACCAGCACCAGCAGCAGCAACAATCAATTTATGCGCCCAGCATCTATGGCGTGGGTTCATCTGCCGAGGATCACTATGAGCTGCAGCAGTCGCAGTATGGCGGCAGCTACAATGGCGAGGGCGCTGGCGTGCGCTCCGGTGGCCCCAATTTGGTCAACAAGCAGCTGGTGCTGCCATTTGTGCCGCCCAGTTTTCCCAACAAATCACAAGACGGCGTCACGCATCTCATCAAGCCGTCCGAGTATCTAAAGAGCATCAGCGATAAGCGTTCGTGTCCATCCTCGGCCCGGTAAGTTAAGAAAGCCACGCTAGCACAGCGCCAGCTGGCATCGAGAGATTTAGTTGTAGCCGTTGCTGCCTCAATTTAGCTGCACATCTCGTGCGGCGGCAACATAAGTAATTACCACCAAAAGTGGCAGAAGTACAGTTGCCTTAATTAAGCTGCAGCAGACAATGCAGCGCATGCTCGCGCCGATCGGTGGCTGCAGCGGGGCAATTAACAGCACCACTCACAAGTCAGCCACTTCCTCAGCTCAGCTCAGCTCAGCTGTAGCTCAGTTCGACTCGGCTCGACTCGGCTCGGCTCAAGAGTGCATGAAATTTTATGCGTGCTGCATGCCAGGCCAACTTTTGCTAACTGCTTCGCCTTGCTAAAGTCAGTTGCAATCCGAAGATGATACTGCGCACACGACATGCTTGGCGCAGGTGCGGCACACACAAGTCCCACCCAACGACACACCCAGCCAGCCAACCAACCCACCCATCCACCCACTCACCCACTCACACACGCTCACATTCATCAATAATTCTGCGTGTCTCCTTGCAGCTCCACGGATACGGAGGACTATATGCAAATCCAGATCGCACAGCAGCAGCAGCAGCATCATCACCATCACCAGCATTCGCACCAGCATCAGCATCAGCATCATTCCCATGCCCTGGGCGTTGGAGAGCAGCCGCCATTGCCACCGCCGCCGCCACCATTGCCCCACATGATGCCGCCGCCAATGCCCATGCTGCTCTCGCCGCTGTCTGGCGATGCCACCAGCAAGTCACAAAAGCCCAAGAAACCGCACGGCTCGGCTGCGCCCAGCAGCCAGGATACGGCCACGCGCAAGCAGCATCAGCCGCTGTCCGCAATTTCCATACAGGATCTGAACAGCGTACAGGTGAGGGCACAACAGGTGAAACGAACTCAAAAGAATCAAGCTGGACAAACTCTTAACTAGACTAGACTAAGCCTTAAATGTTAGCCAGGGTCCACAGCTCATCAGTGAGTCGGAAAACCGTTTCATCTGGCAATTCGATAGGTCATCTAGCAGTCAGTGAAACATTTGTTCGATATTGAAATTGAAATTGAAATTGAAATTGTTTCATTTTCACATCTTTTTTAAGAGTTAACTACAGGTGATTTTTTTCTTCTAAATTATAACACTTAAAATAGTATAGTTTACAGTTTCCATTGGCATAATATGAAACACGTTAGCCATTGTCCAATAGTAAACTACGGTGGATAACCAAATCATTTAGTTGCTGTAGGTTTACGTTGCCAGCCCAGAGATAGGGAAAGATTGAAGATAATCTGGTCCTTGGGTGTACTAAGTGCTGATTTCATTGAACTTTTCCAACAGCTGCGTCGCACGGATACGCAGAAGGTACCGAAGCCCTATCAGATGCCCGCACGTAGTCTGAGCATGCAGTGCTTGACCACTAGTACGGACACATACTTGAAGACGGACCTGATTGCTGAGCTCAAGATCTCGAAGGACATACCCGGCATCAAGAAGATGAAGGTGGAGCAGCAGATGGCCAATCGCATGGACTCCGAGCACTACATGGAGATAACCAAACAGTTCACTGCCAACAACTATGTTGACCAGGTGAGTCACAAGGTCTCGAGTGGGTCGCGGCGGCAGTGGGAGGTGGGCGTGTAGATTGGGGACTGTGAGCTAGATTGTCATGCGTATCAAAGATCTACTTACAGATACCAGAAAAGGATCAGTCCGGCAATGTCATACCCGACTGGAAGCGCCAGATGATGGCAAAGAAGGCAGCCGAGCGCGCCAAAAAGGACTTCGAGGATCGCATGGCCCAGGAGGCGGAATCGCGCCGCCTATCGCAGATACCACAGTGGAAACGAGATCTGTTAGCGCGCCGCGAAGAAACTGAAAACAAGTTGAAGTAAGTGGGCGGGCTTCCTTTTGTTTGTTTTAGGGGGTCTTGTGGCGCAGCTGCAGCGGACTCGACACACTCTCTGACCTGTGACCTCGCCATCTGTGCCATTTTGCAGAGCGGCCATCTACACGCCCAAGGTGGAGGAGAATAACCGTGTTGCGGACACCTGGCGCCTCAAGAACCGCGCCATGTCCATCGACAACATCAATCTGGCCACCTGCAGTGGCGGCCTCAACGTTGAGCAGCAATACCAGCAGCTGCAGCTACTCCAGCAGCAGGCGCATCCCCAAGGCAACAAGGAGAATCAAAGCGATGGCGTCGCAGCAGCCAAGGCCGGCGACTGCGACCAACCGTTGCAGCAACAGCAGCAACAGCAGCAACAACAACAGCAGCAGATGAAACAGCAGCTTCCACAGGATGCACTCGATCAAGCCGACGACGAGCAGGACGACAGCGACAACATAATTCCCTGGCGAGCACAGCTGCGCAAGACCAACAGTCGCCTGAGCTTGATCTGAATGTGGAAGCTGCATCCGCGTTTAAGTCTCTTGTAGTGCATTTTCTTCAAATTATAATTTTTTTTTTTTTTTGCATCATTACGAAAATAATTAACTTAACGAAAGTGCAATCACATATGTTAAAGGATATATTCATAAATAATGGATATATATATCATAACTTTAAGGCATCTTTATTTGTAATTTGTTGAAAGCATCCACGTGCTCCAGAGGAGTGCCGGCCGTATCTTCCAACCAGCTCCAAATCCAAGGCAAGCTTTAGATCCAAAAAGAAAACGAAAAAAATGCAGAAAAAAAAAACAAAAAAAAAATCGAAAAGCAATATACACGATCGCGACATTGTGTATGTACTATATATAGAAATCATTAATATACGTATATAATTTTTTTTTATTGTTATTCCTATGTTAAAGAAGAACAAGCAATCGAGCAATCAGTTCGCGCGGATATTCATAATTATTTAAACTTTGCACTAAATTCCAATTGGGTGTTGTACGAGTCGCGACTATTCGCTTATCGATTAACGATTAACGATTAACGATGATCGATTAACGATTGTCGATTATTATAATGCATTAACGATTTTATCTAACTATCGAATTGATACAGAATTACCTACTTTAAGCTTCCAATTTTTTTTTTTATCATTGTTATTTGTTTTTATACTTGGCTCAATAATATGATTAAAATTTTACTATACATATTAGGATAATGGATTTTTTATTGAGTGACGGTAAATAATTTGCTAAAAATAGATATATTGATACACCTTTTTATTAAAGCTAACATCGAACAGGGGCCATCTATGCAGTGGATGCATTTGCATCTTGTATGGATTAATTTGTATTCTGCAGATTCGTCGTATCTAATAGATACTTTCGCATCTATTAGATACTGTGGGAAGTGCGTAATTTATAGCTATTTATATGTTCTATCCTAACATCGAAGCTAATCGAATCGGCAAGTGAGGCAATATTTATAAATAAGTTAAGGAGATCAATGCGTGGGCTAGGTCTGTATGGAGATAGTGTCAGTTGTCAGTTATTGATATCGGCAAGTTTCAATCAGGTTCAAATTAAATTTGTACCCAATCAGAGCTGATTAATTTTCCAGACTTTGGCTGATAAATTAGGACGGCTTGCCCGTGCCTACGCGCTTAACTCTATTGATAAAAAATGTGTGCAAATTATTGATATTGATAAAATTGGTCATAGTTAAATCGGCCCTGGGCATGATAGATGGGCCGAACAGGGCAATTTTTATAAAAGTGAAATGTTTTCGCAGTCATCGATCATAGAATAAACAAACTTCAGATTGTCAAGCACCATGCGCAGCGCAACTCTTTGTCTCCTGCTCCTCGTTGCAGCTAGCTGCCTGATCAGCTCGAGTGTATGTTAACATTTGGCGATAAGTGCTGCTTCGATTGGTAGTTGTCAATAATTAATTGTGATCCTTATCCCCATCTAGGCCGAAGCGGCAACAGCCGAACGGGCTAACTTCGACGAGGTGGACTTGGCCAATTTGATTGATGAGCTAGATGACGATTATGTCGACGTTGAGGAGTCCAGCTTTATCAGTTCGGTGCGGGACGCCCTCAAGGTGGCGCTGAAAACACTGCGCGGCGCCAATTGCACCGTAAAGAAGGTGGCCGATATATTGATCGCGACTACTAATTATGTGGATACCATCGATGCTTGCGGTGTGACCGTGACCAAAGATGTGGCTGCCATTGTCAAGTCCTGCAAGAACATCATCGCCATCTGCAATGACATCATCCATCTGCACAGCAAGTTGTGCGCCACCGATGAGGCCAAGGCCAATGCGTTGTCCTCCAGGCACTGCTCCTGGCAGCTCTACAAAACCGTGCGCAGGCTGAGCTCGACGATCAGAGCCACCAGGAAACAGATTGCCAAGCTGCCCGCTGACACCAGCTCCTGCTATGTCAATGCCACCAACGATGTTAAGGCCAGCTACGATCAGTTCGTGCCCAATATCAATGCGTGCTTTGAATAAGTCCAAACGCATATGACATATATTTACGTAAAATATATACATTATAAAACTTGTTCGCAAATAGCAACAAAATAAATATGTTTATAATCTACCCAAGCAATTTATTGTTTTATTGCGAAATTGGTGCTCATGATTGCGCTTTGTACGTGTCAACCTTGGCTTTCACATGGCCAAATTCACATTTAAATATTAATGTCATAAGATGTTCTATCTGATAAAGTTAATTCCGTTGATATTAAAAGTATATTTTGTTGTTTTACTTCAATTGAAACTTGTAAAACTCTAAAACAAGCAGCGAAAAATATTCCCATTAGAAAGTGAACTGAGACTCGTGAGTTACACAGTTCTTATCAATAATTAAAGGATTACAACTTATTGCTTGATATATATTTTATTATTTGCTTGGCTTATATGTTTATACAAAAAAAACAGAATGGTTAAGACTACAGCTTAGTTGCTGGTCAGCTTGGAGCAAGACTTCAAGTTGGCGGGGAACTGGGTGTAGTAGCTGACCAAGGTGTTGGTGGCATCGGCGACACAGCTGACGGCATTGGGACCAGTCTTTGGAATCTTCTTGGCCAAGGAAATGGCAGACTTCACCTGCTTGTACAGGCTGAAGACCTGGGCCAGAGTCTTGACGGCGCAGCTATTGGTGATCTTCTGCTCCTCGGGCTCGTCGGCGCTGGCGCAAATGGTGCTCTTCAGATTGATGATGTTGCTGGCGGTGTTGATGATCTTCAAGTTGGCATTGATCAGATTGGTCACGTCCTTGCTGGCATCTACGCCGCAGTTGACGATGTCAGCGTTGTATTGAAGCGCGCTCGCCTGGATGCCCCCAACCCACTTGATGATGCAGTTGAAGCCCTTAACGCTGCGTAGTGCCGCCTTGATGGCCCACCACACTGACGAGAAGAAGCTGAACATCTCCGGATCGATGAGCACATCACCATCGATATCAGCGAAATCCATCGGCTCGTATTCCAGGCCAGTGTCAGGGACCACACTCAGCGGTTGCCAGGTGCCGGCATTTACCTGAATATGCATAAAACACACACCCATGTAGTTAATCCTTTATCTGGCAGCTGAACTCTCGCTCGATACTTACGCTGAGCACGCAGAACGCAGCAAGCAGAGCAAATAGTGTGAACTTCATGTTGAGGCTTTCAAAAGTCTTCTCTTTGGTCTACGCCACGGATTGGGCCCTTTTATAGCTAGACAGTGGTCTGGCTGCAGCTACCGTTTGCACCAATAGATAAGGCTAAGAACGCAATATTGCTAAGTCAGCTCGCCCGTATATCGAGCTGTCTATCTAACCACTTCTACCATTACCAATACCAATGCCAATGCCAATTGCTGTTCAGCTTAGGACAGGTAGCCGCAGGTCTTTGCTCGGCCTTTGTGCCGGATACTTCATATCAGCTGATAAATTGATAAGCAAATAAGCAATTGAAACAAATTCAAAGTCAGTTTGGCAAAACATCGCAGCCAATTCTCTTATCAATTAACTCAACCGTGACATATACTGCTATTCAGCGTGCATATGCAAAACTTTTGATTGCGAGATGGTTTGCAGCGTATATACTTTTAGGCTGTTTTTATTACTGATATACATATATGAGCACACTTTTAGGACAGTTCAACTAGAGTTCATATTTTGTAAAATTATAAATATACTATATAAATTGAATTCGCAATCCTAAGCTAGCCACAAATGTGACCTATCTTTGAATCACATTGGAGCTCCGATTGTGATGACCAAGTTTCTGCTTGAACAGCATCGTTATTCGGCTGTTTTATTTAGAGTTACACAAGTTTAAAACATAAAAAAAAAAAAAAAAAAAAAATAAAGTATTAAATTATATTTTTAAAATCAATGAAAAAATTGGTATTATATAGAATATTTTATGATATGATTTTGGCCATGTGCTGCCACAGCTGACTTGAGTTGACAACTCAAAGTTGTGAGCCACGTTTTACTTTGTATATAGAATTGAAGAATTGTCGAAAATAGTAAAAAGTTCAAGTTCAACCAACAATCCCCCAGATTAGCCAACCATCGGTGCAGCCCATGGAATCCAATAAAAAATCGTTTGCTTTAAGTTTGAATTACCAAAAAAAATTTTATTTCTTTTATAATAGAGTATCCGAAAATGTATTGAATAGCAATTTTTTTGATGACATACATATATACATAAATATATAAATATATATATATTTATATATATATATATTTAAAGTGTAGCTAGGTTTTGGGCGTAAAATGGAATTTTTTAATTAACATAGTTAAGCTTATTAATTTTGCATTGAGTTTAATTATTTTGTTTTGGTTTTTGTTTTTTGTTTTTGCGTTAATTTATTTGTTTTTATTGTAGCTGTTGATGATGTTCGCTAGAAGTGCAGAAGACAGAGAGAGTGACAGAGGGAGAGAGTTACGGACGTGCCTGCTATAGTGTATGTGTGTGTGTGTGTGTGTGTGTGTTGCGTTTGAGATGCTAATGCACTTCAATTGTAGCGAACTACATCCGTGAGACCGTGTGTTCAATGTCTGTGTGTGAGTACGAGCTGAAGCTGCTTTCTGCTTAGCAAATCCATTCAAATTCTTAACATACATGCATTGCTACATCAAAGTGTGTGTGTGTGTGTGTGTGTCTGGTTGCGTCTCTGTGGGTGTGTATGCATGTACGTTGGCTCATTCATTGCTTGCCCATTGCCATTCTGATGTTATTGCTTGATCATTTTCATCTGTTTCCATTTAGTTTTGGTTGTCGAAATTGTTCAAAAAATTCGCTTTTTGTTTTCTTTTTCATATGTTTTTCATATGTTATGCCATAATTTAAATTAACGTTTTAATTTTTAATTTGATTTGTTTTTTTCTGTTTCTTTTTTCTTTTAATGCTACTTCAATTTCTCTTTTCGTTTATCTTAAGTAAAATTGAATCAAATTCCTCAGTGCTTGCAGTGCATACCGTACTTAATTTTTGTTTTTGTTTTTGCTTTTTGTCTGTTTATGTTTCGCTTAAGAGCTACCAAAAAATTGTAACTTTTCGTATTATAATTATATATTTATATTTTATGTTTTATATGTGGTTTATATTTAAGTGTATATATATATATATATATATATTTGTGTGTGTGTGTGAGTTGGTGTGTTTAGTATATTACATTGCGTTAAGCATATACATTTATATATTTATATATATATATATATATATATATATATATATATAACATATATAGCAAATAGCGCTTAGTTGAAGAATTTTCTAGTTTCAGTTACTATTTACAATTTACAGTTTAAGCAGTTTAGAACTCTTCGATAGAAATACTTTCAGACTTGCGTAAGTTGTTATCGTGTATCAGTTTAAAAGTTTAGCTATGTATATAAAGTTATATACTTAAAGGAAAAGTAGTTGCTGTCTTTGGTTTCGATGCTTTCCAATTAGCTGGCTGAAAAATCAAAAACTGAGCAGAAATAGAGGAAACTGAAAACAAATTATGTACACACTTAAATTCATGCTCTAGGAACTGAATTTGATTTTGAAAATAAAATATGTTTATTCTCTCAGTGTATGCGGTGTCTGTGTGTGTTTGTGTGTGTGTGTGTGGGGGGGGGGGGTGTTCTTCTTAAAGCATAAATAAATAAATTACAAATAGAATAAGGTATTCTCTAGAAGCATTATCTCGCTTATACATAATATATATATATATATATATATAATATATATATATATATATATATATATATATATATATATATATATATATATATATATATATATATATATCCGTCTATAGGTTGCTCAAACATCTTCTTCTTTATATATATATATACTTTATATTCCTCTTTACAATCCAATAAATTGTGTTGTTCTTTTAGCTGTCGCTGTTGCTTCCTTTACAATTTCTGTTGCCTTAGTTTCTAGGTTTTCATAAGACTTGCGTTTCATGTTGTTTTCCATTTTGTTCAACAATTCCCTTATATGCATAGAAAAAAATATATATTCTTGTAAATATGCTATGTGTGTATGTCTGTATGTGTCTAGCTTCTATATATATATATATATATACATATATATATATATATATATATATATATATATATATATCTGTATATCTATATATAGGTGCATGTATATACATGTATGTACGATCTCGTCTCTGCACACACGTATACACAAGCATTTCTTGCTTAAGTGTAGAACATTCATCAGGTTATATGCGTATTGATGTCTGTCTGTCTGTTGGGTTTCATGTGTGACTGAGTGAGTGTGAGTGTCTGTGTGTGTAAGTGTAGGTGTTGTCAAGGCATTGTTATCATAATATAATATGGTATGGTGTCATATGTATCTGACTTGTTTCGTTATTTATACAAAATACACGAAAATATATTCCTTAGTTTGTCTTGGACCCGGTTGTTCTCCGAACAGGTGTTTGTTAAACCCACTTACAGTGCGTTGCTCAACACTGTTTGCAACGCATGGCAACACTGTTTTCATTGCACTTGCTCTTTTCATTTATCCTCAAACTACAATTTCAATTTCAATTTCAATTTCAATTTCAATTTCGTTTTCATTTTCAACTTCAATTACAATTTCAATTCTTCAGATTGTTAAGCGATAGCGGAAAGAATTTCCCATTACAATTACAGTTTTAATTACTTTTCGCAGGTGAGAATGGAACAAAAAGAAAGCTGATTGGAATTCTTATTTTATTTGAGTTTTTCGTTTAAGTTTACGTTTAAGTTTAAGATTAAGTTTAGTTGAATATTTTTTGTTTGTTCTGTGTTTCATTAGCAAACGTATTGTGTTCTCTACTAAATTCACTAGATTGTCATTTGCTAAATATTATTCTGCTTTCTCCCAGCTCTTCCTCTTCTTCGTTGCGCTGGCTGCGACTCGATTGGCACAATTTGTGGCAGCCTTCGAACACACGTCAGCGGGGCATTTAGCTGCACGATCCGCAGAGCTGCCACAAATTATCCTACATGACGATCGCACCTAGCACAGCCTATCCAGATATATATCAACATATACAAGCATATTTGCTAGCATATGCGTATATATATCTATATGCATGAAATCCAAAACATAATACCCAGTCGAAAGCTCTCGATGCCACCCGCTGTCTACAGCAGAGCTCGAGCCATGAACTCACCCAAGACGGGGGCGGCAGCCAGAGTTTTCGCGGCAATCTTATCTTCATCTTAGTTAAACATTTATATATATATATATATATATATATATATATATATATATATATATGTTATATTATATATTTATGTGTGTGTGTGTGTACTTAAGGCTAGGCTTACGGCTAGCTAAGATTAGGGTTTACAGTAGTTAAGGATTTGAGTTGCTTAGTTAATTACCTTGCCTTATCTTCAATAGTGAGATTTGATTTTGTTCTTTGTTTTGTTTTTGTTTTTGTTTTCAACAATATCCTAAACCAATTGGGTTGCAAATTTTCGAAACATAATTGACTTTACCGCGATTTACATTCAAAGCACTAGTAAAATGTGATCTAATGAAAAAACTCCCAATAAATACATATATATATATATATATTAATATATACATACATGAAATGAAGAAACTCCCGATAAATACATATATATGTATATATATATATATATGTATATATATATATATATATATATATATATATATATATATATATACATATATATATATATACATATATATATTTGACACACAATCAGATAAGTTTAAATTGCATTTTGCTTATTTATGGATCTACAAGTTCTATCGGAATATTTGTTACGCAAACGTGTTTCATTTCTTTTGGTTTCGTAAAATCTATATATATATATATATATATATATATATATATATATGTATACATGTATATATGTATATGTGTGTATAATCTTATAGTTATAGAGCTGTGTATAAATATTTCGCTATTCCTGTTGTTCATTGTTCTTGTTGTTGTTACTGTTGTTGCGGTTGTGGTAGTTAGTTGTGTTACAAAGTCGCTTAGAGTTTCCAATAGTCTTGACATATATATATAGTAGTATGTCTATGTATATATATATATATGTATATATAAAGGTATTTGATTTTGTTGTTGTAGGATAGTTGGGGCATCTATATAGCCTGAGGGTCTGGGCGGGTGAGGACGGGCGCTTAAGTCTCTGTGAAAGTCTTTGATTGAATTTGAAACACATCGATATATGCATATATCTATATATATATACATATATATACATATATATATATATATATATATATTTATATATATATATATATTATCAATATTATATGTGTGTATACTACATATATGCATATATAGGTCTATATGTACGTTAAGAGAATGTGAAGAAAAATGTCGTTTAGCCAGAGAACGCGGAACTCTTTCTGGGTTGTGCATTGCTTAAATAGAGTGTGCGCATGGGACTCTATATACGTTTGTGTCTATGTCTGTGTTATGCTGGATAAGACTATCTGTGTGTGTAGTATACAGTGGTGCCTGTCCGCACGTGTCTAACTAACGAAATAGCATCTGCTGCTGCTGCTTCTCTGCTTTGGCTTGTATTGCAATTTACAACAGTTTACAATTATTTTTCTCGTTTTTCCTTAAATACTCATCTACTGCACTTAACTAGATTTAATTTTCAAAAAAAAAAATATATATATAGAGTTATGTATATGCATAAATAGTTGTGTATATATATATATATATATATATTGTTATATATATGGTTAGGTATGTGCTTCTATATAATTTCTATGCGAATATGTATACTTTGTTGTTGCTGGTATTGTTGCTGTGTTTCGTATTCGTGTGTGTTTAGCAAATGCTTTGGCTAATATCAATCATACGCCGCTTGGGCCCATTGCCTTTGCTCAATGCCCATACATTTTCATGCATTTTTAGTTGTTTGGGCTTGGGTTTGCTTCCTCTTCTTCTACTCTTTGCTTGTGGGTATTAGTACAATTAAATTTAGATATCACAATATAATCATCTTTTAATTTTGTTTGCCAAAGAAGTGAAAACAATATTTGTTTAAGAAAAAAAAGGCACGCAGCAATCCGAGAGGTGATTGTACGTACGTGTGTGTATGTGTGTGTGTGTGTGTGTGGGTGCATGGGTAGCTATAATTATTCTTGAGTTTTCTTTTAATAAAATAAATTGTCACTTAAGTGCTAAAGCAACGCGTTCTTGTGTTGAGAATTGTATTTTTACTTGATTTGCTTAAGCTTAAAATTAATTTTATATTGAATTTTTTACGTTTTCATTTTTGTTTTTGCTTAGTATGCACTTATGCATGTTTTCCCATTAGTTGAATATAGACACAAAAAAATAAATATATATATCTATATATATATGCGTATATATAAGTATGCTCAAATTAAAGCAAGAATTCAACAAACAAAACTTTTGAAATGAAAATTAATTTCATGCGCCCGGAAGTAGGCAACACTTTGATCTCCTTCTTCGTCTTCTTCTTCTTCTACTTATTTTTCATCTTCTTTCTTTGCTGTGAAACTAGCTTTGCAATTTGGCTGAATTTCTAATTTCTTGCTTTTGTTTCATTATTATATGAATTCTTATGTTTAAATTCTGGTTTGCAGCTCCAAATGCATGAAACGCTCTTGACCTTGGGCCAGCAGCAAATTGTTTCAGTTTTGTCGCATTTGGAATTGAGTTGGAATGTTGGTATTCGCATTGAGTGTTTGTTGTTGTAGTAGTTGTTGTTGTTGTTGTTGTTGTTGAGTTTAATCAGTTGAACATTGTGGTAAATTCGCAGACGTGATTCCATTCGATTGGCAGCAAAAGAGTAAAGTGTTTGCGCATTAGAAATGTAAACGTGGACACGAAGGTTGACAGATCATCAAAATGGTGGATGTTGGTGAATGTTCTATTCGAGCACTACATGGATGGCGTTGGAGTGGATTGGTAACTTTGCTTATTGGGTCGCGCGGCCGGTGGCCAGCTCTGCTTGCAGCTTACTTTCCAAATAGGTGGCTATCTCGTTGGCGTTCTTGTTGAATGCCACCATCATGGCCGTGTTGCCTTCGGCGTCCAGTGATTGTAAATTGGCGCCAGCTGCCACCAGCATAACGCAAATGTCGCGGCGATTCTGTTCGGCGGCAATGTGCAAAGCTGTCTGGCCGCTAAGAGCGTGAAAGAGAGAGAGAGAGAGAGACAGAGAAAGACAGAGAGAGAGAGTGAGACCAGCGACAGGCAGAGAGGGGGCATGCCAATTTACCGTTCCTTGTCCGCCATGTTGATGACACGTCGTGTGGCTGATGAAATGATGTACTTGACGATGTCCTTATGATTGTATTTGCATGCAAAGTGTAGCGCCGTCTGCCCGTTCTTGTTCACTGATTGTAATGAGTATCCTTGTTCATGTAGTGCACGTAACTGCAAGAGACGCACATATGAAACGAGCACATTAGCGAGAGAGAGAGAGAAAGAGAGTTAGACAAAGTGGGAGAGCGAGCGAGAGACAATAGATAGGGAAGCACGCAAAGAGAGCGAGGAATAGCCTCTGGCAACAGCTACAAAGCGCGTTTCACACAAAAAAAGCAGACAAAACAAGGAGACAAATCGGTACAAGAACACAAAAGTTAAAGCTACCATATTCAGATCGCCGCCCTGGGCCGCTAGTAGTACGGCATCGGAAGTTTGCTCCAGTATAGGGCTGTTATTTGTACGTTTGTAAAGATATGTAGATGTATATGTATATGTGTGTATGTGTATGTGTGTGTGCAACGCCAAATGTGTACAAGTAGATGTCGGTGTGTGCGTGTGCGTGAACGTGTGCATAGAAAGTAGAGAAATAAAAAGAAGAATTCAAGCATCAGTATTGATTCATTTGCCTTCAAATAAGTCAATGATGTTCAGATCTCTGTAAGAAATGATCAGTGTGAATGTGTATGTGAGAGAGAGAGAGAGAGACAGATAAATATATATGTTGAATAGATAGATTGAAAATAGAGCAAGAGTGCAACAGAGAGAATACAGAGTACCTGAATCCATAACCAAAAACATCTTCGTTAAAACTGAATAAGCGATCTTTGTTGCTGCATGCAGAAGCAAAAAAATTGTTAATTTTAATAAGGAAAGTAAGTCAATAACACAAAAAAGGCAAGAGTTGCAGAAAGAATGAAAGAGAGTAAGACAGACAGAGAGAAAGAGTGTGACAGAAGCTGCTGAGTATGAGTGAATTTTGTGAGGCAAGCGCCAATTGTTAGAGCAGCACAGCCAATGGTATGGTGAGTTTTGAAGCTAGCAGCAAATGCGAGCGAGCGAGGTAGAGAGACTGTTTAGCTATGCGGTTACAGTGTCATAGCAAACAGCTTCTCATCGCTGCAATTTCGATCTCAATTTTGTGGGACGCATGAGAAATGAGTTCGCGTTTGTCGAGGCTTAATTTGTCTACGGCCTTTTACCTCTTCCACTTCATCACTTTAATGGGCTTGGAACCAATTTGCAAGTCCTCATCTTTGTGTGTGTGTGTGTGTGTGTAGGTGTGTGTGAGTATGTGTTGATGTATTAAATTCAAAAAGAAATGTATAAATTGTTAGTACACCATTTACCATCGAGTATATACAAAAGGTATGCAGCAAGCAGAACACAAATACATAAATTAAGTTTAATCGGTTAATTGGTTAATTGGTTAATCGATTAAGCCGTGGCAAACCTACCCCATCGCAATTTAAAACAGTAGGTGGTCTGGTATTGTGTTTTATTTTTTTTTTTTTTTTTGTTGATTTGGATTTTGGAGTTTGATTAATTTTAATTGGTGTTGGTTTTGGGGATTTGTCTTTTGGACGAGAACGGAATACGGTTTAGCCCTTGTCGCTGTTACGCGTAACTGTTAACGTAAGCGGCGATTATATACCAAATATATAGAAAATACTCATATAGAAATGCGTTACTTACATGTAGGCGTGGCAAGGACTAAGCTGTATTCGCTCCCGCCTTGACGTGAGCTCTGGGTGAGGGTCTTTAGGTGTGTGTAAGTGTGTGTGTGTGTGTGTGGGTGTGTGTATGGGTGTTTCAGTTAATGTAAGTTACTTAGTTTTTTTAGTTAACATGCAAAATTAAAAATGCAAAACACCAAAGGTCAAACGGAAACAAAAACGAACAACGTTAAAAACTTGAAAGAGAGAGAGAGAGAGAGATGGATAGAGAAGGGGTTTGGTTTGGTCAAGGATTTGGCTGGGCAGCGGGAGTTGCTGTGGTCGGTCGCTTAAAGCTCGATGCGCTTTTTGCGATAGTAGAGATGACAAAACATGCGCCTATCTATATAGGGCAGCTGCTCGGCCGCCTGCTGCTGGTAGAGCTGCAGCCGCTGTTGCAGCACCAGCTCTGTGGGCGGCGATGGCGGCGGCGGCGTTTGGGCCGCCGCGCGTTGCCAACAGCTTGATAACAGAAGCCTACCCGTGTTGCCGTTGTTATGGCCCTGCGCCTGGTCCAGCTGCCGTCGCTCGTTCTGCGCCTGCCGCTGCGAGAAGGCCGCAAAGGAGCGCTCCTGGTCGGGTGTCTGAGGCATGGTGGCCGCCTCGTGATCCAGTATATACAGCTCGTCGATGGCAATGTCACATATGTAGTGCAAGTGCTCCTGGGCGCGATCGATGCGGAAATAGTGCTCGGCGGTGCACGCTGCAATTGAGTGAGCCAAAGCTTTGTTAGCAACTGATGAAGCTAACGGGCGCAGCTGCTGCCACTTACAGTCAATGAAGCACCAGTCCTGCGAGACCTTTGGATAGGATATGGACTCCTCGAACTTGGCGTTCAGCATGTTGCGCACATGCTCCAGATCGCACTGCGACTCGATCTCGATTTGACCCAACTTGTTGGCCAGCTTGCGCAGCATCTCCTTGTCGTAATGGTACTGCTCGTACTGCTGCATGGTTACCCTCAGTATGGCCAGTTGCATCTTCTCCAGCGGATTGACTCTGTGAGCAGGAGATGCGATTGAAAACATTGAAAGTAAAGGCAGTCGATCAAGTCAATGGGAGAGAGAGAGAGAGATAGAGAGCGGGAGAGCAGTGAGCAGTTGCTCAGTCCAGCAGAATCTCACGAATCTTGGTACAGTTCTACTTACTGGACATCTCCGCGTCCGTGCTTGCGCTTGGACAACATCAGCACCTGGTTGAGCAGCTCGATCTCAATGATGGAGGGCTTGACGCGACAGGCCTCGCCATCGACCTGCATGGGAATGGTACGTTTGGTAATGATCTTCGCCTTGCGGCACTGGCAGATGCAAGTGCCGTGCATGCCCGCCTGCAGCATGGGCAGCTGGTAGGTGGTCAGGCCGACGACCTCCAAGAGACCGTCCTCGATGGTGGGCTTCGTCTGGCCAAAGGAGTCGTTCCAGGGATGTGTGCCGCCGCTATAGCTGTGGATGGCAATTGTCAGCAAAAGCTAGCTAGGCAGACCGTGGGGCTTACCTGGGTATGTTGAGAAAGAGTACGGCATGGCAGCCGGCATCGCGCAGCTTGCCAGTGAAGTCCTGGCCATCGCACTCCAGCGTCACCCACTGTGAGAGGTTGCGATATTGGCGCAAAATCAGATCCTTGCCGCCCATCTGGCCGTAGTACATCTTGTTGCGCAAGCGCGAATTGAAACGCTCCGGGTGCGCCTCACGCGCCTCATGGAACTCCAGCGCAATGTGCGCATCCACGCCGAAGCTGAAGTAGTTGTTGATGACATTCAGCGGCACGTTCGGCTTGCTGCGATCCACATGATCGTCGGTCACTTCGTCATTGGGTGTCACCTTTACGCGCCAGCGATCCATTAGCACGCACTGAGACATGCCGATCTCTCGCAGTATCTTGCCAATGGGTTCATCCGTGTAGCCCTGTGGGCATAGTGCATGATGCCACAAAACAAGTTCAAGCAAATCTGATTGAAATTCAAGTCGAAAATCTTTACTTACGCCGCCCCAGCCGAGCGATCGGGCCAGATCATTGCCGGTGCCCAAAGGTAGCACGCCCACCGCCGGCGCCGGCTGCAACGGCGGATGAATCTGATCGAGCACGGATAGCACCCATCCCACAGTGCCATCGCCGCCGCAGGCCAGCACCCGAAGATTCGGAGCCTTGCGGTACATGTCCAGACTGTGGAGACGATTACAGATATAAGTTCTAGGCTTATGCTTTAAAGAGAGCTTTGAACTAGTTCTTTTAGGTTTCTATCACACTTAAACATAATGAACTAGTTCTTTTTGGTTTCCAGCACACTTAAACATGTTTCAAATGTCCTTTGGCGGTTCACACTTACCCCATCTTGGGACCGCCTTGTGTCAGATCGAATACCTGGCGTGGATTGAGCAAATGCTGGAACTTGCCCAATAGCTTGACGCCCTGGTTGCCACCGGATTTGGGATTGATAAAGACAATGACCGGTATAACATCCGGTGATGGAATGGGCTTCACGATGAAGGCGCGCGGCTCCTTCTTCTCCTCCTTGCACTTCTGACGTTTCTGGGTCTGCTTTTTGCCCTTGCCGCCGGCACCGCCACCGCCACCACCAGCGCCGCCACCAGCGCCGCCTGCCGAGCTGCTCTTGTTGCTCACGCGTATCGAGGACTTGAAGTTGCCCTTATTCGGTAGCTTTACAATCCACGATGGTGGCACAATGATGGGCGCATAGTTTCCTGCAAGCACAAAAATCGTTAGACAAGGAATGGGAGACAGACAGAGGGAGGGAGGGAGGGAGAGAGAGAGAGAGGGGGGGGGGGGGGGGGTGTTAAGCTGATAAATGGTTGAATTGGCAGCTGACCAACTCGTTGCCGCACGGCTAATTGAGAGCTCGTCCATAGTAAGTAAGAAATGACAACGAGCAGCAAATTCCATTTGCCACCTTCAAAGCAATCACAAGCACCAAGAGCCGCAACAACCAAGGGAAGTTAATAGCATAGAAAATATGCCAGAAGTCAGTCACGAGCCACTGGCAAACAAAAGAAATTGAGATGAAGCCACATGGCACCACGCAGCAAGCACAGAGTCGACATACCAAGGCCCTTGCCCCAAGTCAAGGCGCAATTATGAATACCACAGCAGCAAAGGGGCAGGTGCTGGCCAGCAAGAGGAAGACAGCATAGCTATCATAGCGAGTGAGCCAAAGGGAAAGAGGGGGTGGGGCAGGTGCTGCTAGCCGACTTGCAAGACAGGCCAAGGCGGCTGACAAGTTGAGATACGCAATGCAGCCAGGCCAGCGGTAGAGGGTGCTCGGGGTTGGGCGTGGGTGTGGGGTTGATATGCGGTGATGTTAAGGGTGCTCTAGGCTTTACGGATGCCCGCCTGTAATTGTATTTTGCGCTTTATTTCGTTGTCCTGTGGCAATGCCATTGTCTCCCAGCCAGCGTGTGCGGCTCTGTGTGTATGTGTGTGTGTGTGTGTGCGTATGTATGTAATGCGATGCTGGAGAGTGTGTTAACAAGACGCTCATTGAGACACTTTATAAAAAGCATTCACAGCCGCCGTTCAGTACGCATTTCCCATGCACAGGCAACAATTGCGGGGGTCATCATGCCAACCACCCAGTAGCCACCACCAGCCCCGCCCATTATCATCAATTCAACCACAATCGAGTTTGCCGAGCTGGCCATGGTCAATTGTTTTGCCGGTCTGGACTTTCCTTTTGTTGCAGCGGCACAGCCACAGCCGCAGCCACAGCAGACAGCAGAAGTATTTTCATCTGACAGTCACAAGTTTTGGCATTTCAATATTAACTGCTCAAGAACACCTCTTAAAGGCTGTACGCGACCAAGTGCAGCCCACTGACTGCAAAACTTTCGTCTCGTGCTGAAGGCTCAAGCGTCATTCGCCATCTGCACGAGACAATCGCAGCGCCGCCCCCGCTGACGTTTCAGCTCAGCACTTGGGCCTCGATATTGCAATTGGATTAAAGAGATGCAAAACCGAGTTGCATTCGAGTTGCGCCTTCCTCATCAGCCTTATTGTTCTCATAAAATCTTCTCTTTGCCTATTTGAAAAGGAATCTATCTAGAGATAAATAAAGCACATCATAGTTATGAAGGTTTTTGGAAGCTGTCAGCTTTAGCCACTCGAAAGATTCTGACAGATTATGAAGCTTAACAAAATTGTTCTGCGGCAAATATGTTTCATCCGACTGCAGAATAAAGCCATTATAGATATCGTGCAATCGCGATCAGTCGTTCGACCTGTAAAGACGTGAATTCGAACAGCCTTCGCTTAAGCTCTACTGCTGCAGAGTTCTAAAAATAGAACTTTGCGGTGCATTCTTCAACGCAACAGCAACAAAAACCGCACACGCAGCGTTTTCTTATCGCTTGCTTCCGCGTAACTCAATTGCTTTAATTGCAATTTACGAAATTTCGTCGCTTGGCGCGAGTGCGCCTGCACTCAAAAGCACAATCCGCGATGACATCTAATGTCAATAACCTCGCTACAGCTGTAAAGGTAAATGCAGAAATGCAAGCCCAGCTTAACGTTGTGATGGCAAATAGGCAAGCCTCCATCATGCCAATAAACTCAAAAATAGATATCGCCTCCGTGCAAGGCATCACTAACAACAAAAACACGAAACGTAAACAGCCAAATTCACCAAAAACCATCAAGAAAAGGCTCATCTTCGACGAACCAAGCACCAGCAATGCAGCATTAATATCAGAAAATCGATTTTCACTGCTCGTAGAAGAAGATGAAGACTACAGCGAATCACCTGTAGCTCCAGAAGCCCCAGTATTGACCGACCAGCAAACTACTCCGAAACCTCGTCCGCCCCCCATATGGTGTCCAAACATCAAGTCTGTGGCCCTACTTCAACAGATAATAGATAAAGTAATTGATGCTAAATCATACGTAATTAAGCCAAAGAAGAATAACATAGGTGTATTAACCCAATGCAGTGAGGACTATCGCAGAGTTATAGACCACTTTACTAAGCTGGAATTGGAGTTCCACTGCTACCAGCTTAAGGAGGACAAACCATATAGAGTCGTGTTCAAAGGGCTTCACTCCAGCACTGATACAACACTAATTAAAAAGGAATTGGAAACCAAAGGCCACACAATTACAAATGTGCACAACCCACTGAGCCGTATGGACAAAACACCGCTAAATATATTTTTTGTTGACGTGGCTCAGGCCCCCAACAACAAAGAAATTTTGGACATTCGAGTTGTCTGCAGGCAACGCTGCACAGTGGAACTGCCAAGAAGATACAACGACCTGACACAATGCCATCGCTGTCAAGAATTTGGACACACACAACGCTACTGCCACAAAGCTCCCAGATGTGTGCGTTGCGCCGGGAAACACGCATCCAAAGACTGCACCCGCGAAAAGGACCAGGCACCAACTTGTGTGCACTGTGAGTTACAGCACCCAGCCAACTATAAGGGCTGCCAAGTATACAAGCGGTTGCGCAAATTGCAATCCCCAGCACAAAAAAGGAGTCCCACACAAACACCGTCTACGGGTCCGAGTACTGCTTCCGAAATTACAAGGCCCCGGAGCATTACCCAAGCCACGAGCTTTGCAACGCCTATTAGTGGTGTTTCTTACGCACAGGCCGCTAGAGGTGGACCGTCAAATAAGAATACCACAAGTGACACTTTGTTCACTGAAATGCTTCAGCAACAACAACGTCAGTTTGACGCAATTAATGCCGAGCTCAAAGCGATGCGAGAAGTACAATCCCAACAAGCAACCATGCTAAACAGTTTAATGGCCATCATAACCAAGCTTGCCTACAAATAATGGCTTTACGTGTGGGTATCTGGAACGCCAATGGCCTGAGAAACAAGACTCAGGAACTGGCTGCGTTTCTCTCACAAGAAAACATAGATATAATGTTAATAACAGAAACTCATGAGTGCCCCACTACACAAATTTTCGGATACGAACACTATCAGGCTCATGGTGAAGGAGCAAACTGCTTTGGTGGATCCTCAATCCTCATACGAGCAACAATACCGCATACACCTTTACTGCCAATTTGCAACGCAACAATGCAGGTCTCAGCCATCACCCTGCCTACGTCTATTGGAGCGATCGAAGTTGCGTCAATTTATCTTCCGCCAAACACTGGTCTGTGTGATCATCACATGGAACAGGTTCTAGGCCAAAGGTTGAATAAGACCCTCATCGGCGGCGACTGGAATGGATGGCACCCATTTTGGGGAAGCAATAGTGCGAATCGTCGCGGAGAAGTCATATTTGAGGCGATTCAAAACTTACAATTCAGCATATTGGCGACTGGAGCCCCCACCCGTTACCCAATTAATGGACACAGGCCCTCGGCAATCGACTTCGCTGTCTACAAAGGCATCTGTGACCGGCAATTGACCATTGAAGAATCCTTGGACCTATCCTCTGACCACCTGCCACTAATAGTCACAATCCACGCGCAGCCACAGCCCTTGCCCATTAGGAAACAACTACTGCCAGCAGGATCAGATTTAGGAGTCTTTAGGCGCGAGCTCCATTACTCTTTGCACATAGAAATGGAACTTAACACTCCTGAAGACGTGGACTACGCAGCAAACAAACTGCAGGAAGAAATAGTCAAAGCTGCGCACCAAGCCGCCCCACCATCTTGCCAAACAAGACAACAGTCTCCGTACAACATCCCCCTCACCTTGGAGGCCCAACACCTACTAATACACAAAAGATGGGCCAGGAGACGCTGGTTAAGATTACGCACGCCTGATGCCAAATCCATGTACAACGAAGCCACGAGGCATCTTAAAGCTGCTCTCGCCCTGCTTCAAAAGAGGTGTATCAGCGATGCGCTGGTACGAGCTGAATCGCCCACTGACGCAGAGTTTCAATTATGGAAATTTACAAGAAAGCTCAAACGGCAGCCAATACGACGTCATCCCATTCGGAGCATTTCTGGTTCCTGGCACATTGGAGACGAAGCTCAAGCTGAGGCTTTTGCAAACCACCTTCAAGACCAATTCACGCCGGTGATTACCGCAGAGGCCTCAGAAATCGAAGCAACAGAAGACATCGTTCTCTCGCCCCTCCCAGCTGAAGACCAGATAACTGGATGTACAAAAGAAGAGGTTCTTGAACACATCAGAAGAGTGAAGGCAAAAAAATCCCCTGGATATGATCTAATAAACGGCAGAGTCCTTAGAGCACTGCCTGACTCCACCATAGACTACATAACTATGGTGTACAACGCCATGCTCCGCATCCGGCACTTTCCAGCCTGCTGGAAGCGCGCCGTGATTGTGATGATTCCTAAGCCTGGCAAACCCGTGGGAGAAATTGAGTCGTACAGACCAATTAGCCTGTTGCCAGTACTCTCCAAAATATTCGAAAGAATATTTCTGGAACGAGTACTGACACATCTGGGACGCCAGGAGGCCATTCCAAACCATCAGTTTGGCTTCAGGAGACAGCATGGAACACCGGAACAGGTTCACAGAGTTGTGCACCATATCCTTGGAGCCTTTGAAGAAAAGATGTACTGCTCTGCCGTCTTTTTAGACATCAAACAGGCGTTTGATCGAGTTTGGCACCTGGGACTGCTGCAGAAAGTGAGGACCACCCTTCCAGCCCCATTTTTCGCGTTGCTATCCTCATACCTTATTGGAAGAACCTTCCAAGTGTCAAGGGGGCAAACAGTATCCTTGACTAGACCAATTATGGCTGGAGTACCACAGGGTAGTGTTCTAGGCCCAACACTTTATACTTTATTCACAGGAGATATGCCAACTCCCGAGCCAAATATAGGAAGTACAGATGCAGTACTCATAGCGACCTATGCAGATGACACCGCCATCTTATCACGTCACGTATCTGCGCAAGAAGCTTCAGACTCACTACAAAAATATCTGGACTCTTTCGGACGCTGGGCAAAACGGTGGTGTATCACCATTAATGCACAAAAGTCTGTACATACTACCTTCGCCACTAGAAGAGGAGATTGCCCAAGCGTTGCATTGGGGCCCACTATTCCCAAAGCCTCAAAAGTAAAGTACCTTGGTATCACTCTTGACAGAAGGCTGACTTTTAAAGCGCACATAAGTCAAGTAACCTCAAAATGCAAAAGCAAGCTAAAAACCCTCGACTGGATGCTGAGAGCTTCAAGCAAGTTGTCTTACAGCAGCAAGGCCGCCATCTACAAGGCAATAGTTGTCCCAACCTTCGTATATGGTATCTCTCTATGGGGCTCCTCGGCGAAGACTACAAGGAACAAAATTCAGACCCTGCAGAATAAAGCACTACGCAGATGGACTGGAGCCAGCTGGTTTGTAAGAAACTCAGTCTTACATAGGGATTTAGCAATTCCCACAGTTGCTGAACTCATTGGGCGACACAGTTCAAGATACGCGGACAGACTTGCAGCGCATCCTAACCATCTCGCAAGCAACCTGGCTATAAACAACAATAGGCGAAGACTGAAGAGATTGCATCCTCTAGACAATATTAGAACTAATTAAGATAGTAGCTACAAGTGCAGAATAATTGGCATATCTGCCCTCCCATTAGTTAAGGTTTAGAGCTAAATGCGCTATAGAGTCTAAGACAATAAGCTGCAACAAAATAAAGAAATAAAAACGAAAAAAAAAAAAAAAAAAAAAAAAGATATCGTGCACTGCTCTTAGAAATGTTATATAAATACATTCTGTACGCTCTCAATTAGAAATGCTGAGACTCTATTGCGAATCAATTGTGGAGTGAAAGTGAATAGGATCCGGTATGCAAATTGATTTGGACGAACAAAAGGGAATCCGGATCCGGACTTTGCTTTGTTCGAGCTGTTTTTTGTGCAGCTTTCAGTGCGTTTTTCAATTAAATAAAAGCAAGAATAGAGCTAAACAATAAAAATCGTTTATTTGTTTAGAATTATTTCACAGCTGGCAATCAATGGGATAAATGCAGGCTATTCAAAGGCCCAATCAGTTGTATTTCAATTGTGTGAGTGTGTGTGTGTGTGTGCGTGTGTGTGTGCTTTGCATTTCAATTATCAAGGGACTGCCGATTCTCTAATTGCGCTTTCCCGTGACGTCACGTCAAGGCCCCGTAGAGCAGCAAGATTCATCAGACACGTATTGGGCTCATCTATTGACTTAGCCTGAGTCAAAGCTGAGAACTTGACAAATTGTCAATTCCGCGAAATAAATGCTAATGACCTAAGAACTTGACCCAAAAGAGAAGACAAAAACAGCGAATCAAGTGTCAAAGGGGCCGAAGCGGAAACGAAATCGAGCAAAGCGGAAATACTCTTTAGGACTCTTTAGAACAAATTGTCATGAGACATAAGATTCTGCGAAACAAGAACAAGACGAAAGTTAACTAAGTTTTATTCGCTTTCCAACTAACGACTCGAAAGGCGTTAGAACAAGAAAATGATGGAAATTAAGGAGCTTAAAAGTAATCCAATTAGTTTATTTGATTAAGCAACTAATTGTTATGATAGAGGAGCATTCAGATGTAGATAATGGACACAAGCTGACATAGGATAATCAAAAAGTGACCGAAGAGTGTCCTTGCCGAGGAGACCACAGGGAATTTCTTAATAATTTCTTGTTGTGCTCAGTTCAAATTTAATTGAATAAAATTAAAATGATTTAAACAAATATTAATGCCCATAGCCCTTAGGTTAGTGTATAATGCATTAAAATAAAAAATAAGAGAGAGCAAATAAAAACTACGAGCTGCTGTTGTTAATTAAGACAATTGGACAGTGAGCGAGTGGCCTGGCAGTGGCAATGGCAATGGGTTAAAAGGGTCGAGAGGTGGATTCGCCAGCTACCTTGTGGCAAAATGGACTTGGGCTGGCTGGGCACTAAGAGGCGCTATTTTAATGCACAAATTTTAATTAAGTTAACGGGCCGGAATTTATTTGCATTCACGTCACGTAATTAATCAGACAGGACAATGGAGAATGGCGAACAATGGTCGTGGCTGGGCTGCCGCAAAGCCTGGCTGGGCATCGATAAGGACAATGGGCGAGCTAAACTTACCGAGACGGCACTCCTCGCCAATCTTGGCCTGGTTGAAGCACGACTCCTTGTTATGGTATATCTCGTGGCACCACGCGCACGACAAAGCCACAATTTCCTTCGATCCAAAGAGCTTGCTCTGCACCGCCTGCAACGCGCGATAGCGCCATGATAATGATAATAATGATTATTAGCTCACATAAAGCCCATTGATGGGACTCACCTTGCCGCACTGCTTGCACTTGCCCTTCTCCAGCTTGCGGTGCACCCAGTGATGGTGGGTGGTTGTCTGCTCCCTGTACTGCCTGATGCCCACATCCCGGTATGTTGGCTTACACGCTAGTTGAGTCTTTTCATTCACAATTGGAATGCAGTTCTGATGTGCAATCAGCTGACAAGCCGAGCACTTCATGCGCTGCCCGCTCTTCTGCAAATACAGCCAGAGAAACAAATAGATTAGTGCTAGGGACAGAGACACAGAGAGAGAGAGAGAGAGAGACAGAGAGAGAGAGTGGGAGAAAGGTGTGTGCATTAGCAACGCATAAACGCAGTTTGTCTTCAGTCAATTGGCCAATTGGTTAGCTAAGCTGACAGCCAGACAACTGGACGTCCATTGGCCCATTGAGCAGCTCCTCAGTCACTTGTCTCTATTTAAACTTGTGCAATTAATTTCAACTCAAATTGTACGTCAGTCAATCTGTCACACGCAGCACGCACACAGCAGCCCGTTGCTCTTGAGTACTCTGGCGTGGCCTCGGGCGCTGCAGCTGCCACGGCAAGTGTAAGGTGTATTATTTTCAGCGGCTACAATAAAGCTCACTTCAAGCCCTAAGCTAAGAACTTGAGAATATTTTAAGCGATGCAGTTGACATTTCGAACCCGGTTCGATGTGCTTTCAAAGTTCTTGAAAGCTTTAAGGGCTCATATGTCTTAAATGTGCCTTTGAAAGCTCTTTAAAGTTTTGTGTGCTTTGAAGACTTCTGACATTGATTATCTAGCAGTTAATCTTTCTTTCCTCTCTTCGTAAATTCAGTGTCAAAATGAGTTTTTGTTCTTATAATTTTCACTTAAGCTGAAAGCTCAATTACACACAATTATATACTTGGTTGTTATTATATTCTTTCTTTGGTAGCTCTTTTTCTTGAACCTGTGAAAATGTTCTCTAATTTCAGCGTGATTCACCTGCATTTGCTCTAGATCTAATAACATTTATTAAAACCATATCGTGAATGTGCTGATAATTCAGTTTCTTGCTTTCATTTAATCAACTGCTGCTGCCAAACTTTACCTTTACATTACCTAATGACAAACTACTTGTAACTTTTGACAGCAAAAAAAAATAAATAAATAAAGAGGAAAAGAGGGGAAACCCGTTTATTTAACCCCAGCCGCAGACGCTCCATCGAGTGCGTGTTTGCAACGTAATAAAATCTAACAAAGCTATATACTATATAGACACATATATACACATATGTGTGTGTGTGTGTGTGTGTGTGTGTATTTGAAGCAAACACGCAAATAATAAATTACACGATTACATGAAGTTTCATTCTGCTTGTTGCTTTTCGCCTCTCGCTCTTTGTTCTCCATGCCGTAATTGAATTAGATGTAAGCCCCAAAAAACTCAGTCCAATATCGTAAGTCCAAATCCCCGCTGACTGTATGTGTGTGTGTGTGGTGTGGTACTTACAATACACTCCTCGTTGAGGCAGCAGAGATCGCCCGAGGCTGAGGTGGGCTTCCAGTAATGCTCGCCTTGCACCGCGTTCTCCGTCCAATCGGGCACAATGCGAATCGGTCTACGGGCATTGCTCGACGAGGCCGTGCGTCTATAATGAACAGGATTAAGAGTGGAGTTGAGAAAAGTTTTCTTTTATACATTATTTAGTTACTTAAACTATGTTTGCCCTTAACCTAAACCACGTCAATTGCAATAGCTAAAAAAATGATATTAAGAAGAGATATATATGCCAAGGATTCAAATTTATGTTCTCGTGTGTTCACGAAAATTGTAGTGCGGCTGAGCTCTGAATGGAAAATATGAAAATTCATAAATTTTTTCTATTCATTTACATGTTTTTTGTTGGCTAAACTCCTTTTGTGATATACCTACAAAATATATGAAATAATTTATTTATAAATTCCTTATGGAGCTCAACTCTTTCAAGCTGCCCTCGCTTGGCAGCGTTTGTATTCACTAGTCAGATATTTCTAGACATCTGATTCATGTGCAGATTCGTAGACTTAATTCTTGGAATACTTCTTATACGGTTTCCGTTTGGTAAGCGACGATTCGCTCGGCTTTGCGGCGCATTCTGCAACGGGACTCACCTTTTGCGCCGCCAAGCCCCCACCGAGTCAAGTTTCCTTTGACGAAAAGCCGACTTGCGCTGCATGCCAATTGATGAGCGGCGAAAGCGACGCACTGCGACCGCACCGCCGCCCGCGCCCGCTGCCCCACTGGATGCAGGCGATGCGACAATGAATTCGCCGTGCTGATTTGACGTTGACGTCAACGCAGAACAACGGCTGTTACTGCTACTGGTGCTGCTGCTGCTGCTGTTGCTGCTGCTGCTACTACTGCTGCTACTGCTGGCATTAGCCTTCTCTTCTTCTTCCTCATCTTCCGTTTGGAATTCCTCGCGCACCACATGCAGCAACCGCTCCATGCTCAGCAGCGGCGTTGACGTTGGCGTCGTCGTTGGCGTTGCGATGCTCGCAGCGCTGCTGCTGCTGCTGCTGCTGTTGCTGCTGCTGCTGCTGATGTTGTTGTTGTTGCCGTCGCTGTCACAGTTCAAATAAGATATGAACATGGCTAACCGTCGACTCACAGCTGAACCGAACCGCACCGAATTGTACTGAACTGATGCCCGCTGTGCTCGCTGCGTCTACGATCTCATTTCACTTCACTTGGATTACTCATTAGATTTGCATTTGGTTTTCTGTTTGCGCTTGGTTTTGCTTTTGGCATTGCGTAGAGTTTTGGCTGATTGCCGTTGTCTGTGGGCCACATGGTGGCATAGTTTCTCGCCTAGCTAACCTGCCTCGACAGCGACTGCGACTGCGACCGCGACCGCGACGTCGGCAGAGACTGCTCTTATCATTATGGCGCCCAGAGACTCAACTGTAATGCGAAATGAACACATATAGCGCGCCTGAGCGAGGTGAGTAATGAAAGTTGATTAGCCTGCAGAGCTTAGCGCTTGCTTTGTGCATAATCAATGTTCCATTTCAGCGTTCCGCAACTTGCTGGCAGCGTCATGTGCTGGCCTCGATGACAACACTTATGTTCCATTCTCGCACAGCTTACTGCAACAGCCAGAATCGGAACGGGCAACACGCAAAGCGTGTGGCTGGAACGCACGGAATTGGAACATTTTTATATTAGCATAAGCAATTGACTGACTAAGTACATCTAGATTTCGATTTCTCTGCAGCTTTGCCAAGTTGCAACATTTATTTTATTGTTTCAACACGTCAAAAAGTATTTGAAGACACAGCGGAAATGGCACAAGTGAAGGTTGAATGGAGAGCAGTCATTGTTTCACTATCGCAGCCGATATTGAAGACAATTGAATGTGGAAACAATGGAACACGCGCGCTCACGCAGTGAGGCGTTCCCGACTGCAACGATTCTCTATAATTTGTATTGCTTTCGAGCGTATTACAAATTCATTTGACTTGACTTGACTTCGCTTCTCCCTGCACCCTGCTCGCTGCTGCCTGCTCCCTGTTCCTTTTTATCCCTTCATTTTTCTCATTTTGTGATTGTTTCACCCGCTGCTATTCAGTGCACGAGCGAAGAGGCTTGTCTCTGCGTGCTCTGCGTGTTGTTGTATCTCTACATGTGTGTGCGTGTGCGTGCGTGTGCGTGTTTGTGCTTCTGTTTGTGTGCGTGCTTAATACATCTGTATACATTTTGTATATTGTATGCATTGTAATTAAATTCTTATCAGATTCAGATGAACAACAAAATAAAAACCAAGATGAAAATAATAATAAAAAGCAATGTGACTCGTTCTCTCTCTCTCTCTCTCTCTATCTCTATCTCTAACTCTGTCTCTCTCTGTCTCGCTCGCTCTATGAAGCCAAGTCAATTAAGTAAGTGGAGCCCTACCCTGGTAGCAGCTATTGCTGCCACTGTTGATATTGGCCAAGCAAATTGCAGGTTGTTGCTTGGATTTGCATGTCAATTGTCAGCGTTTAAGGCGTCTGAACACAACAACAACAACAACAAGGGCCGTGTCCATTGGCTGTTCCTTGTCGATTGCTCAATAAACATATACATTTGTATTCGTGCGTGTGTGTGTGTGTGCGAGTGTCCCTATGCGCCACGCTTGCTGTGCGTTGCGATTGTAGGTCCTGCTTTTGACACGCCCACTTTTCATTACTCTTCCTTCTGCTTGGCTTCGTTCGGTTTTTTTTTTGCTTTTGTTAGGTGGCAACCCTGTTTGATTTGACACTCAACCATGGCGTGCATTCTGTTTGTGTGTTGCTGCAATTGACGTGGACTTTACCCGTGACCTGCCTCACTTTCACGCCCAGCGCCCCGCCCTACCCCAGCCTACGCCCACGGCAATGGGCGCCTAAGTGCAGATTGGAATTTAATAGTTTTGATGCATTTGCCGTGTCGAGCTGATATTTTTAGCACTTGGGCATAGTTGAGCCACAAGCTTACACGGCCCGGAGACCAGCAAAGCCTCTGGGCTTACAGCCCACGCTGACGGCCCCAGCTTAAAATAGTAAATTGAAAATTGACTGAAATGCCAGTTTACATTTGTAAAGATTATTTATAAAAAGGTATTTGATTTGAAATAGCAATCAATTTTCAATTGATCAGGGAGACAAATAAGCCAAAGACGACTCCCAGCACTTGCTATTTGTGTGGCTTTCCTTATCCCACTCTCTGCCGCTCCGTCTCCCTCTCGCTCTGTCATTTATAATCAGATCAAAGGAAATATAAATACATAATCGTGTGCCACAGCAGCACAGCTAAATCGATGCGCAGCAGAGAAGCAAGCAATTGACAAACAACAAGCAAATAGCCGAGTATTTTAGCCGCTATCATTAGCCAGTGGAGCGACCAAACATGGTCTGCAACGCCATTCTGATTCAAATGCGATTAATTTGGATGTCCGCCTTTGAAGCCGGCGACGGAACGGACAAAGCGCTATATGCAAATGGGGAATACGAGTCTGAATCCGCAACTGAAACTGAAACTGAATGTGAATCTGAATGGCCATCGGTTAAGGGAATGACAGCTGTCGTCCGGCAGTCGCAATTTCTATCTGTGTCGGGGCCAGCTGATTAGACGGTGCAGAGCGTTGAGCTGAGACCGCATCGCATTCAATGCCAACTGGGCCACCTCTGCGTCTCCAACGGCCCCATCTGAGCGCTCTGACAAAATCAATAAAAGCCTTGAAAACATTTTTGTACTCTTCTCAATAAATGACACTTTGCAATTTACAAATTTGCATTTACGTTTGCGCCACGAACTAGAAATTCACTCAGCGGACACTCGGCTACTTTTGCGACATAATAAAAAATATTATTATTATCGTTTATCTCCCTCTCCCTCTCTGTCTCTCTCTCTCTCTCTCTCTCTCTCTCTCTCTGTCTGTGCGAGCAGCCAAAATGATTATGAAAAGAATTTTTCTGCGGCAATATCGCGATATCTTGCCAATAATATTATGACTTTGTTGTAAGAGTCGCATCGCCTACATATACAATATGTATTTTTATATATTCTTTTCTCTGTTCGTCGAGCTGAATGAAAAACATTTGGAATTTAGAGCGTTACAACAGCAGCAATCAAATCAATATATTGAAGTATTACCTTGTGCCTACTTTTGCCACTCTGTCACCTTTACACACAGCTCAACTTTTGGTCAACTGATTAAGCGCAGCCTGGCAGATGATTGCATGATATAGTTGAATATGCAAAGCTGTCAGATATCAGATATATATATATATATATATATATATATATATATATATATATATATATATATATATATATATACATGCAAGCATCCACTTTAGGGCGTTACAAAGCTCTTGAAAGACTTGCGACTTGCGACTTGCGAATTTGTGTATGAAAATTATAAAATATTCAACGAAATTCATTTCGCCAAGAACTTTCGCCAGAAATAAGAAGTTCGCAAATTGTATGAAACTAACTAATTTATGCTTACTGTTGCCAGCGCTTCAACAACTCTGTCTCTCTCTCCCTATCTCTGGCTCTCTTCGTCCTATGCTGTCTAATTAATAAGGTAACGTATACGCAGCGTTGAGCACGCAACAGCTTGAAGTCTATTATGGCATTGAATTCTGTGTGGCTCAATTACAGTTACTGCTATTAATAACTGGCCACAACTCTAAAGTAAACTGCCTATAGACATAAATAAACAGCCCGAGGATATACACACACACGCCCACTCACACACACACACACCCGCATACATATACATCTAATTTATTTGGCCAATGGAAAGTGAGTTCGAGCTGCGCAAAATGAAAAATTATCTGCACGTCTTCTCGTTTGTGATTGCGATTAATGGTGCCTGTGTATTCAATTGGTGGCTGTCGGGAGTGGGAGAACGTGCCAAACGACAGAGAAACCATGAGCGAGCGAGAAGGGGTAACTGGAAACTGGCAACTGGCAACTGGCAACTTGAGCTCTAAGCTTTCGTGCAAATGGCAACAACTCGAGAAAGGATTTCGAGGCTAATGAATATTAACAATGCGAGCAAGCAGATGAAGGCGGCGAAGCAGCGCTTCAAGCTGAGCTGCCACACGGCTGCTGGACGAGATTCAGCAATGCATCTGC